AAAAAACTTCTAAATCTAATTTGAGAGCCAAATTCACAGAAGATTTATTGATTTTCAGATTGAATTAGGCTCTGTTCATTATTGCATCTATGAGTAATGGTCAAACAGTAAGCGATTGAAGCGTTGAAATCGGATGTCTGAATGGTAAAAAAGTGAATTACTTAAAATATTATGAGCCAGTATCTCAATAATTTTAATAAAGGGATCAGATATATTCTAATTTTCAAATAATATCAAAGATTAGGATAGGCAAGCTTATTCTAAATGATAATGCTGCTAGTTAGTACATTATGTTTATTCTAAATTGAACATCAGGTATGAGAATGAAGGTTGAATGAGAGGGGTATTAATAGTTTAATTTCCATTCAACTTCAATCTGTCATTTATGGTAATTACTCCTTACAGATGCCCTCTATTGTGAAACTATAATGCGGCAAAAGCAATCATCATCCACGTTACCAGATATTTATTTTAATACATCTACAATAAGACGGTGAGGTTCTCCTAACATGACAGTGATTGCGTGAATGCATTGAGCAATACTATCCTATCCAATGTGTAAGATGAGGAGATCAGGCTTATTAAAGTTGGTTATGACTATTTTATCCATAATGCTTATTAAATCGGAAGTTTTATGAGGAGTAAAGAACTTCAGTGAGCAATGATAGATGGATTGTATCATATCAATTAGCTCAAATCCCGAATCTAAGTGCAATGATTATCATTAATATAAGCTTTATTAATACCAAGCAAATACGATGAGATAGACAAATTCGTCATAAATGGTAATTGTTGGTTTAGCTGCTAACTAGAAGTAAGCCTAGTTCATCATTTAACATATTATTTTTTTGTATTAGCTCGTTTTCTTTTGAAGCCTTTGTCTTATAAATTTGGAACGAGCATAGTATTTCACTCTTTTTGTCTTAAATTATTGTTACCTTCGAAGAATTAATAAATAGCTTGTTTCAATTAGAAGAACATCTTTTAAAGTGTATAAGCCAAAGAATCGCAACTATTAGAATACTATATAATTATAGAGATTTTGCAAATCTTTCTTGATGATAATAATAAAGCAAGATGTTTAAGAGAAAAATTAGAGAACTTTACTATTTATTTGCAGATATTCTGGGTCCACTGAATAAGAGTTACACCTATAGAAGTTTTACTCTATTTTCTATTTCGATAGAAAATGCTATGTATTAAATATTTATAAGTTATGCATAAGTGGATAAGTGGGGATTGTTATGAAGCAATAGGCATGAAGAAATCCTGTAGAAGCCAAAAATTTAGTTGATCTAGCATTTGAAATGATTAGAATTATTAAAGTAGTCAGAAAGCAAGCATCCAACTAACACAACCACATCTATGAGTTTACCTTCTTTGTAGAAATAGATATTAGTTTACTTGGGGCTATCCTTCTAATCTATAACTTAACTATCCTCATTTGTGTAGTAAACAAATATCCCCAATATAGTCTCAATCTTCTTAGAGGAAATTCACCTCCTACTCCTTCTAAAATTTAGCTAGACTTAAGTGTCGTATTGTAAGAAGAATATATAATTGCACAATAATTCCTCTTTTAACTAGCTTGACTGAATTTAAGGTATGATTTAGTAAATCTGCTATGCTTTAAAAGCAAAATGATTATCTTAACCTTTTTATCTATTTATAGCAAATACTATCCGTTTAATAAAATCGATTTTATTTTTGATAATTCTGACCTTTTATATTTTATCATAATATGTGTAAGTGGTTTTAAAGACTGTAATGATTCATGATAGGTGAGATTAATCTCCTCACTGCATTATAATACTATTGAGGCCTTTTCCAATAATATGAAAATTATTAATAATTAGTCAGTCCACTTCAGGTTAGTCCTCCTCCAAATGAAATTTGTGATGAAATAAAATTTGCTAATTATGATTGTATTTAATCTACTTTTACAGTTGCTATTAATTTTTTATTTCCTTTTAGAAATAAACATAGATTAGTCTTTATACTATTCTTTTATCTCAATTCAAATACTATTTTATCATTTTAATTATTCAAAGGCCCTTTCGGATAGGGTAATTTTATTCTCTTAACCTCTTGAATCCAAGCGATGAAAATTAATGTTATAACACCTGAAATTGCTCTTCCTTAATGAATTCCAATCCTTTAAATTCTTATTCATTCAATCTACATTTTACAAAATTAGCTTTACTAATGAATTATCTTAATTCTAATATTTTGCGAAACTTTGCCTTCATAAATCAATCTACATTTCTACTCATAAATAGAGAATTTGATCCCTTTAGATAAACTACCCATCAAAAGAACCAGAAATTATAAAAATTGAAGTTTTTCTTTTCCATTTCTTTTATATAAGGAGAATATTTATTCTGAAATTATTACCCAACCATAAATTCTAATCATAATTATCCGAATTATAAAAATCCTACTTTTAATATCAAACAACAAACACAACTTGATTTATTTTTGTTTATTTTAATTTATCCATTATATAATTTGAATTATTCATGAAAAATTTTGAAAGAATATTACCACCATAACTTAATTTGGAAATATTTAACAAAGTTGATTAATACGATACGGGAACCAAAAAAACTTGAGAGAGCTTACTCCTTTAATTAAGCTTTAGAAATTTACACAAACTATGATTAAGGGAATGATAATATAAGAGAGACCAATCCTAAATTATTTGGGAACTCGTAAGAAATTAGTCGCATAGATGGTGATCATGGAAGTTTTTAAGATTAATGTGATTAGGTTACAGATCCTTTATCAAGTATAAAGAGATAAACTCTATTTGATTATGAAAGTGTACAAGAATCAAATATAAAAGTTTAAAGCAAAATAAAATCTACAGTAAGCGATTTTCAAATTCATCACTCTGAATTGTCTGAATTGATAAAATTTTTTTAGGAAATCTCTAATCTTTGAGCATTTTGATTTTTCATCGAGCATATTGTCAGCAGTATCATTTGTTTATGGAAATAGTTAAAATTTGAGATTGTTTGAATAGAAGATTTAAATTACTTTAGAGTCTTAGAAGCACTTTGTCAATGAAATTGCATTAAATGAAAATATTAAAAACAAAAAAAATGACACAGCTGAGTTTAAAAAATAATTTTTATAAAGTAAAGATGCTGGTTCGAGTTCAAAAAGCAAACCCTATTTTTTTAAGGAAATCAATCAAGAGATATAACATTATGTAAATTTTATTATAAAAAGGTGTATGATATAAAATTGCAAACAATTCAGCTTAAACAAAAGAAATCCAAACAACAGAAAATTCCATTTATAGATCCAAATATAGATTCATAAAAAAAAAGATTACTAGAAGAATAAAAATAAAAGGAAGGAAAAAATACTTTACAATAAGATCTACCAATAAAACAAGAATCAACCGAGTAAAAATTCAACCTAGACTACACAAAATTATATTAGCAAGTCAATGAGGGCATTATTCACCAATATAATAGCAATGTGCAATCTACTTTTACAATTCCAAATAATCAATTTTAGACTAATCCTAATATTTTTGTTAACTTTACAAATTCAATTCCATCTTCGAATATCCCTTATAATAACCAATAATAAGCGTTAACTTCAACAAATTTTAATTCATTGAGTAATTCTTATCCTGCTGCAAAAAATTCATCAGATTACAATAAAAGCAAATCATATAACATAAGAAGTGGAAGAAGCTGAATAGATTTTGAAAATTTTGAATGTATCAAAATTATAATATGTTATTAATACATTTGGAAAATTACAAGAATTAATTTAGATTGATTTATTTATTTTTTTTGCCAAATTTGAGGCCTGAAAGCAAGTCTTTTGAAAAATTAAATTTTTTGATTATAAAAATAATTAAATGAAATAGGCTTCTCGATTTGATATAATAAAGAATGAGTTAATTTCAAAGAAAAAGTGGAAGGACTATCAAGAAATTAGTTAATGAGGAATTTGTGATAATAAATTAAATGCCTTATTTAGACGTAAGCACCATTGTAGAAGATGTGGATATATTTTTTGTTAAGAGTAAATAGATATAACCATGTAGTTGCTCAAACCACTTTTTTGATGGGCCTCCTAATGAAGGCGAGAAAAAAATTCGATTTTGCAGACGTTGTTATGATAAAATTAGTTAATTGATAGCAGGCAAAGGATTTTTTGTTGATAATGAAAAGTCCACTTTGAAAGTAACCCTAAGAAAAGAAGGAAATTCTCATTCTAGAAATACTTCGAAATAATTTGAAAGTGTGACCACATTTACTTCTTCAAAAAGCATAATAGCCAAAGGAAATGAAGTTTAATAATTTTAGGATGAGTATGACACACTCTTAGAAATAAATTAAGAGAAGGAAGACATATCTGAATTTTTGGAAGAGTCTGAAATTGCACAAGATTAATTACCAATTTTATAAGAAAAAAGTGCCTTCATATTAGAAAAAATATGTGAATATGTGCTGCAGAATGTTCTTTAGCCAAATAAAACATATGAAAAAGTTATTGAATTTTGGAAGTCAAAAATGAAAACCTTGATAACTCAGTGTGTTTAAGAAATTTAATTTCATTTTTTAAACACAAAGCTTATGAATATTAATCATTTTATGAAAATAAACATTATTGATCACCATGATGAATAATTAACCAGTTTTTTTCCTGAAGTTATCTTTCGAAAGAATGTTGCACTCAAATAAATGTAATCTGAAATTAATAAACCATCCATCATTATAATTATTGGGGATTTTGACATGGATGGTTCATAAAATCAATTAGAAGATTATATTTAAAATGAAAAAAAGCTATTAGTTGATTCAATTAATTCAATTTATAAAAATTATGAACCAAATTTGATTTTAGTTAAAAAGGGAGCGAACAAAATTGCATTGGATGAGTGTCTCAAGAAAAAAATAAGTACTTTAAAGAGTTAAATTGTGTACAAATGCTAAATTTATAAGCCTGTCCATATTAAAATAATGCATTGAAAGAAAGGAATAAATAATTGGTACATGTGAGAAGGTTTTTTTACACAGTTTCCAAAAGTTAATTCTGAAAAAGGGGAAATATAAAAGGATTCAACCTTATGTTTCTTGAAAAATTCGTCATGTTAAAAATTTGCTACAAAT